CCCCCCCCCCTCCCCCCGGCAGAGTGCGGAGATTGGTAGCGTCCCCGTGCCCACGTGGGGGCAGAGAGCGGCCTTCACCCGTGTGGAGCGGGGACGCTTTTCCCACCCCCGGGCAGGGGCAGGGGGTGGTGGCGTCCCCTTCCCCCCGGTGCAGAAGAGAATGGGGTCTCCTTCCCCCTGGGGTGCAGGGCATGGTAGATTCCCAGTGCCCCCCAGTGCAGAGGGTGGTGGGGTCCCCATTCCCCCCAGTGCAGAGGGTGGTGGGTCCCCATTTCTCCCAGTACAGCAGTGGTGGGTCCCCATTGCCCCCCCCCATGCTGAGTATGTTGGAGATTCCCAGTGCCCCCCAGTGCAGAGGGTGGTGGGGTCCCCATTCCCCCCAGTGCAGAGGGTGGTGGGTCCCCATTTCTCCCAGTACAGCAGTGGTGGGTCCCCATTGCCCCCCCCACCCATGCTGAGTATGTTGGAGATTCCCAGGACCCCCCAGTGCAGAGGATGGCGGCAATATCCCCATGCCTCCCCAGGTGCAGAGGGTGGTGGGGTTGCCACGCCACCCCACCCTGAGGTGCAGAGGGTGGTGGTGCCCCCTGTCATTCCCCCCTTCACATGCGGAGCAGGGTGTGCCTGCCTGCACCTGCCTCGTGCGGGAGGATGAGGCCCTCTCCATGCCTGGCCGCACAGTATGACTGGTGCTACAGTCAGGCTGTGTTTTATCCCGGTGGGGTGTGCGTGAGGGTCCATCAGCTGCACGTGGTGGTGCACAGAGCCTGCCTTTGCCTACACAGCACGTGCTTGGCACATTGGGGTCTCTGGGGCACGCGTGGGTGAATAAAATCAGACAAGCATGTATAGGCATGTGTTGAATGCCACCGGTTACGGGAGCAGGTGTGTGTAAGAGCTCATGGCTGTGCAAAACCTTGAACGTGTGCACGGTGCTTTAGGAGAAATATGTTGACCTCTGGGCATCTTGGGCGGAAAGAATTAGGGCAGGAGGAGAGGTGTTGGGCATGCGCCCTCCAAGGGAAGCCTACGTTAGAAAGTGGCTGCCGTGAAGTGAGGGGGCTCTGAAGAGGGTTTGAGCAGGGGAGAGTCGGCTTGTGCCGTGCACAGAATCAGCCTGGAAATGCCAAGTGCAAGAGCAGACGTGGCAGCAGATGCCAGGCTGGCAGAGCCTGGGAAAGGAGCAGAGAGAGAGAACTCAAGAGGTTCAGGTAGAGGCAGCTGTTATCTTTGAATCCAGCATTTCCCTTCAAATGATGCAGCTTGCGGAGAATAATGGCTTTGTTACTAAGCTACGTGGATTCGGTGTCTGTTTTCCCACAGGTCTGTTTGTATGTGCTGTGGGGAACGCAGCCCGTGCTCCAGGACTTCCGAAAAACATCTTTGTGCCGGTTACATGAGGAACGAGGCAAAACCAGGTGTAACCGAGGCCTGAAGAGAGCAAGAACCTCGGGCAGTCCATTTATCCTAATGGAAAACCAGAGCTTTCGTGTGTGGTAGTGGATTTGGTCGGGCTTCTGGCCTGCTTGACTAGGAAAACAGAGACCAGAAGTGCTGATGCTGCTTATTTCAGTTACATGTTCTGAGATAAGGAACCTGCACGCCTTGTTTTGTCTTGATACGTTACCCTGTGCACGGATGCTTTCTTTAAGCAAACTGCCTGTGGTTACTATTGTTTTGTTTCTCCAAGGTCGTTATTTTTTCCTCTTTCTCTGTCATAAGTCTAAATACGTGTGTGAACTTGTAGAGTTGGAGAAATCCTTTGAAACAGGCAAGTGGGCGATTCTCCTTGCTGTATGGCATTCTCCCTGCGATCACAGTATAGGCCTAAATAAAGAAAAGCTGGCTCTGTCACTTCTGATTCAACCACAACATGAAGTTTGATTTCTTCCACATGTGTCACAGCTTGGAAAGATCAGGCGGTGGGATGGAAGACGTTCAGCGCCAGAGGGGATGGAAGACGTTGTTGCTGCCTGCCTTGTGGATAAAGAGTCGCAAGGTGAATGCTCAAAGCTCGCTCCAGAAGTGGACGGTGAAAACAAGGGGCCATCAAACATTGAAAGGTCTTCACTTGGCCCTGGAAACTGTGACAAAGTCCTGCCGTCAGAAGAAGCACTTAAGGAAAAAGCTACTGTTGCTGGAGGGGCTTTTGAAAGCCCTAAAATAAGTGGCATCAGTGGTGATGACAGTAAGGGAAGCAGAGCTGTCCCAAGTGAAACCCGCTTCATGAACTTGCTGCACCTTGATCAAGCTTTAGATGAAAATAATAGAGAACTCCAGAGCGCTCCAGAAATCCCACATCTTGAGGCCTTGGGGAAAAAAGAGAAGTCATGCAATGTAGAAAATTTGGAAGTCCAAGGTCCTGAAGAAGCAGTGACGTTGCAGGAAACAAGGTTGCCCAGTTCGGGAGCTGTCAGAACAAGCGTGTCTTAACTGGGAAGGAGCCACAGTGAAAGCATTGCTAAGTCCAGTAGATTTTTCAGGGCCTGTTTCCATTTTCCAGGAGCAGGGAACATCCAGGTCACCCAACGGTCCTGATCCAGAAGAGGAGGCAGAAGAGCTTTTCAGGTTTCAGTCAAATTTTTTTTTGCCCTTTGTCCTCTCTAGCTCTTGAGAACGTAAAGGAAAATAAAGAGTTCATTCGCAGACTAAGGATCCCCCATTGCCAAAACTCCCTTACCCACCCAAGGAGACCACTATCCACCTGCCGTACTCTTTTACAGCCCCCTGGACAGTCTTAACCTCGTCGCCCTCTCCCCTCATTGACATCTTCCGTAACTAGACCTCCCTTCCATTTTCCAAACCCTCCCAACTCTATCTGAAGGACAGAACATGCAGACGTAGCAGTGTCTGAAACCATTTGCTTCAATGAAAAGCTCTTGGGTTGCATCCTTCCAGTATTTGTCAGACCCCATTTCTCTGTCTTGCAGACTGAGGGCTGTCACAGTGAAACCACGTTTCTTTGCAGATTTTGGATGCGGGAATGCTTGTGACACCCAGCCCCACATTTGGGGAAGGGATTCTCACCATAAGTCCTGTGAAGTGTGAATTTTGCCTTATTTCTGCCTGTTTTGAGACTCCAGTATGTCACATGATTGGAGCTGGTTGGTATGAAGCCATAGTTGTTGCTCTCTGTGCTGGGGACATGGAGAGGGAGCAGCCTGATTTGGGTCCATGGGATCTCTGCCTGCCCTAGTATTTATAGCTATCAGTTGTTTTCCTTCTAGCTGCTTTTTTGTGACTTGGTCGTAAGGGTCAGATGACTGTTTTACAAAAATAGAATTGGAAAATAGGTGTATTTTCAGGGACTTGAACAGGGTGAAATGGATTCACACATAGGCAGCTAAATCCACTTCTATGTCCAATAGGTAGAATAGATTCTGGCCTTAATTCTGTAATTGCGTAAGTTGTCACGATGCCCCGACCGTGACATAAAACTTGATCAAATCACTTTGTTGCCCCTGGGTCTCATGCACCTGAATGGGGAAGGGCAGGCAGAGGGCCCTGAGACTCCCTAGTCTGATGAATCCTTGAGAGAGGGCAACTTTTATGGAGGAGGAGGTCCTCAAAGTGGACTAGAGCAGGCCAGCCTTTATGTTTCCCAAATTCCCAGCTGAGGCAGCTAAGGCTTAGTTTACTGTTTCATTCTTAAACAATTAAAAAATAAAGATAGCAAATAAAAATAAGCATGAATAATTTATAAATAATGACAGTAGTTATGCATCCAGCTTATTTAGTCACTTGAATTATTCATCCTCATTGTCGACTACAATTTTGTAGCACTCGGTGATCGTTAAGGGCCATATGCCATCTCCGTTCAGCTTCCGTTCATATCTGGGAGCTGCGTGCACGCGGACTCAAGAAGCATGTGGCTTTTTAAATACAGCAGCAACAAAGGTACATGATGCAGCGCAGGTTTGCAGGAACATCAGGCAGTCTGCAGGTGCTGGGTGCGTTGCCATGATCTCAGCGCCTCAGAAATGTGTTACATCTTTGTGCTTCAGCTGGCCGTCTGTGGTTCGTCTTGAGGCAGTGGCGGTGTCACAGATCGTTCTTGGCACCAATGCAAGTGCCTCAGCCAGCAAGTGTTGCTTCTTGATCAGCTGAGGTTTAAATATAGGTCTCAAGGTGGAACAAAAACCCAACCTGAAATAACATGAGCAATTTAAAACTATCTGAGAGGAATTTAGTACAGATAACTTCCGTTATGCACCTTTGGTGTAACTGGCAGTCATAAAAGTGTGATGTCATAAAATCTTCGTGGGACAGTGGTGAGTTTGGTCTTAAAATAAGAAATGACATGGGACAGTTGAGAAGTACGGTAGCCAGGTCTGCAGAATTGACCTGGGTACCTAAATTCTTAGGGGAGACCTGGCAAGGCATGGGCTATTTTCAGTCCCATTAACATTCGATGAGGAATCTTGTGAACCCTTTAGTAACTTGGACCACCTTAATTCTTCACAAATAGTGTTGATGAGGGGCAGGCAGCATCTCTTTAATTGTTAACTTTGGTTGTAGCGCAAGTGTTTCTGAATTGTCCAAGCAGAAAGAAAACATTTTTCTTTTGTTTCCCATCACAGCATTCACACCACAGCTGGCTACGACCCGGTTGCAGGCGAGAGAGTGGGAGAAACTCCTGTTTCAAATGAGGATGGGAATGATGAACACTCAGCAGTTTCTTTGAACGTGGTCAGACAGAGCAAGGTGCCATTGGAGAGAAGGCGAGATGTCCAGAGAGGGTTTAACTTGCAGCAGAAACTCTGATGTCAGAGAAATAAAAGGAAAAGATACAGATTTTAAGGAAGAGATTATTACAGCTTATGGGCCTTTGGGAAGTCCTACGAGAATGTGTGGCAGGAACAAGATAAGCCTTATGAAGCCAAGTTACGTAGTCTTGAATGATCTCAGGGACGAGTTAAAAGAAAAATATGGATACTCTTTAATGAGCTCAAGTCGCGGGAGACTGTCATTGAACACCCAAAAGGAGAGAGAGACTGCTTTCTCTGACGCGTTACAAATCACTTTGCGTAGTGATTTAGAAGAAAGCAATACTAAGAAACAAAATGAAGTCCCCAACGTTAACACAGGGGTGCAAAATAAGAATTTAAACAATGCAAAGATCACGGAGATCAGTAGGTCAGAGAAAGGAGTCACTTCCACAGGATCGAATGGTATTGATATGGAGGTTCACTGTGCTATTGAAGAAACCCAAGAAGAAAGATCACTAGTGGAAATGGACTCTCCAGATTTTTCAGGTATATGTGAGCAGGGCATTTTCGCTAGGCTGTCTCTTCTGGAAGACGGGCAGAAGAGTTCCTCAGTGGATGTGTTACGTATACCGGAGGTGTGCGGAGTACAGCTGGATCCTTCCCCTCTCGCCAGCATGACGCCTGAGCAAGAGCAGGAAAAAAATGGAAAGGTAGTTCCCATTGAAATGCTTATGAAACACTCGAACAAAACAGATGGGGAATTAGGGAAAGATAACATATCTGATAGCTCTCTAACAGTGGGGTCTAATAGAAAGGGATGTGATTCCAGATGTTCAGGAGGAAACCAGACCAGTCATATTAGCCAGTCCAGCAGAATTGTTCTGGCACCTGAGAATGCTGTTACGGCTGAGGATTTTAGAAGAAAGCCAGCAGAAGGGACTTCTGCAGATCTATCAGTCAACAAGTCTCAGCACGTGCTTGGTGACAAAAAGCTGCGCAAAGCATGTTGCCTCCTCCCTCCTCATAGTGATGAAGACAGAAACATCACAGACTGGGAACCCATTTGCATTTCATCATCCCGCGTGGCAAAGTACGAAACTCCTGTGAAGCGCAAGCTTTCTCACATGACGGAGAACCATCTTGCCCCAGTGGAAAGCCCAGCGCAGAGTTCCTCGGAGGAAGCTGAAGAAGTCTTCCACAAACAGCCAAATGCAGAAGAGCAGAAATCCTGCAACCAAAGAAGCTTCAAACCCAGCCGGGAAAGCGATGACTGTTCTTGGTTTCTGAGCGAGATTGCAGAAGAGTTGGAGGCTGCGTGTGTCAATGCTGAGCACAAGTCAGTGCAACAGGACTCTAGAAAGGAGTGTTTCGGTCCTGCTGAGGTTGCTCTGCTATTGCAAAGCACGGAGGTGTCCGTGTCTTGGAGAAACAAGGCCAAGCCTTGTTCTCCCTCTGGCATGCAAAGGAACAAGTACCGTGAGAGAAAAAGCAGGGCAGCTCTTTCTTCCCTGAAACAGGACAAAGATGAAGAAATTAGCAGTGTAGGAAAGAAAGTGGATCCTGAACCTGCCCCAGAAGCGAGGCGTGAAGGGGTAGGTTTATAAATAATATTGTCCCAGGTAATGGTCATGGGGAACATGCAGAAAATAGAGCAGCTTATGAGCTTAGGCTGCCTTGGCTTTACTGCAGTTGGCATCTGGAGCTATGAACTTGGGTTAGCTTGGCCTGGGTTATTGCATCTTCCTGGGGGTTGAACTCATGATTCATCTGTATGTGTCCTGAGAGCTTCTGGGGTCATAGCCCATGATTTTTGCACTGCCATACCCTAAGCCATGGTGTGGGGACAGAGGCATCACCCAGGGAAGAGTAGTGAAGACATACCCTAGTCATCCTCCCCTGCACTGCAGTCTTGTATCTTGACCAGAGCAGTTGTTCACTCAGTTGCACGTGGAGCGTTGCACGCTCAGACCGAGTGTGACAAAGGTGAAGGGTGGCCATGCTGTAGATCACTGGGGATCAGAACTAGCTTACAGGCTTCAGTGGAAATTTTTTCTCCAGCAGACAGTACCAGCAATACAGAAAAGATGAGCTGGGCATCTTTCACTGAAGTGATTAAGTGGCCACTTTGAAATGTTGTAATTTAAGTTTGTCAGTTTAAAAGCAGTCGCTTAGCTGGAGCCAGGATGTTTTAAAAATATGCGTCCACATTTAGAGAGATGGTGTTTGTGATTCAGTCTGTGGCACTTCGGTCCATGTGTCCATACCCCAGCTTAGTGCCATGAGGTGTTGTGCCAATGGAAATGCTATATCTCATCTGAAGGAATCAGAACTTGTGGTGGAGGTGAGATCTTTTATTAGATCAACTCGATTTTTGCAAAAAACGAAAGAATTTTTTTTGCAAAAATCGAGTTGGTTTAATAAAAGATATCACCTCTACCACGAGTTGTGATTCCTTTTGCTTCTAGAGCAATACGGCTACAACCTGGATAGGTCATCTGAGATGCAAAACTGGTGTTCCAGCTGCTTATGTATTCAGGGTTTAAAGGACAAGAATAGGTTTCTTAGTCCTGGTGTTCTCACCATGTTCTCGTTAGGATTGCTATATTTTACCTTCTTAAAATTTCCCCTGCAGTTTCATTTGGCTGTCTTTTCCCCCTTATCCTAGACCAGTGGTTCTCAACCTTTTTAGACTCAAGGCACTCTTTGCTAGATCCAAAACACCCCTTGGAAAATGCCATCTCTTGCCTTTCACTCCATTTATGCCTACCGAAAACTAACAGAGCAATTCTCCTGTTGCAACAAAACTCAGAGACCAGAGCAGGTCAGGATGTTTTTAACATTGAATTCTTATCTGCAATCTTTGGTTTTAGTTTGTGAATTTTGGTAGCGTGCCTAACAATGCTGTTAGGCATGTGGTTGGAAGGGACCACAATGGATCATCGTGCCCGACCCCCTGCCCCTGGCAGGAAAGAGGACGGAGGTCAGATGACCCCATCCAGGTGGCTTGATAGTCACCTGGCTGTGGTCATCTGACCTCAGTCCTCTTTTCTGTCAGGGGCATGGGGTTGGGCACGATGATCCATTGTGGTCCCTTCCAACTCTACAATCTATGAATGCTAACATTGCTTAGCACCCTGTGGCACCCTTGAAAGGATATTGAGGCCCCCTGGTTGAGAATCACTGTCCTAGACACTTGTGCTGTGCTTTGCTAAATGGTTGTCCTGGTCCGCCCCGGACGGTGGTGGCATTTCAGCGGTGGTTGGGGTGATTTTTGTAGGTATGGAGAGCAGTGCTCTTTGGGAGGAAATGGGTTTTTATTTAATTCTCCCTTTCCCTGGAGAGACTCTTTCCTTGCCTATTCTCGAAATTGTGTCTTTTCTCCGCTGGAATAAGATGAGGATTTTCCTTCTTGGATTTCTTCCTGTTTTTTCCAAATTGTTCCTGCTCTGTAGCGGTTGTAACACGTTTCCTTCGGCTCTAGTCTACGGACAGATGGCTCTTTTGTTTGATTGCTGTTACCAAGCTACTCTGCATAGTTTAACTTACATCACGTTCCCTTTGAAAACTTCAGTCTCAGAAGAGTGGAAGACTGATTCCAGAACTGATTTGTTTTGACCTGTTTTCCTGCATTCTCCTGCACAATTGTAACTCGGCATATGCTTTGTTCCCCTACCACTGTGACATTGGTGATGGATTTGCAGGTCTGCTGTGCTTCACATGTGCTACATCATCTTTTTAGGCAGTAGAATAGAAAAGTATTTCTTTCTGTAATACATACAATGTAGAATTAATTTGATGAATAATGCGCTGAAAAGGAGAATTTGGTCCCAGGTATCGAGAAGTCCCTGCCGACAACACACGCAAACAAGAAACATTTGGACGCTTATGTTGCTGGGATCCTTTGACCCCAGCTGACTTCCTGCCCCTTGGGCAGAGGGCTGAACCCAATGAACTTACAGGGTCCCTTCCAGCCCTAATGTCTATAAAGCCTATGCAATCAATAAAAATTGAAAACAACAACAAGAAGAGTCCATGCTATGTTTAGCCGTTTTCTACCCAGTTTTCTCACATTCCTGGTAGTGACTCATAAAACCTGCTGCTTTGTGTTTCTCCTGTTTAGCCCGAGGGCCTGGTTGTGCAAGTTGTGAACATCTCCTTGAGAGGGTCTGAAACCCTTCCATATCCGTGGTCGTGTGCGCTGAGCTCTTTACCGGGAGGGACTTAGACCCCGACAAGAGGTCTTGTCTGCATTGTCCTGAGTTCAATGACCGTCAGTTAAGTAGAGACACTTAGCACATTTGTTGAGGCTGGTCTCGACCCTTCCCAAACGCTTGTTCAAGGGTATGGATGTTTGTAGTCGATGCCCAGCTGAGCCCTAGGGTTGGTGGTTCATGGAAATTCGAGGGCAGCCCCAACTCATGGCATAAATGTTGCTTCTGCAAAAACCCTGCTTACAAAACCACACCTGGCTAATCTGCAAACATGGCGTTAGCTGCAGCAGGATCAGAGGCAGATCCACGGCATTTTGCCTCACCTGGGAGACAAAGGAGATTTCATCCCGGTTTTTTCTTAGTAGAAAACCCGGTAAGCAATCTCGCCTCCCCAAAACAACCCATCACTATAGCAACCGCTAGGCTATGCCAGCGTACAGGCATAGATATGCAAGCACTAATATAAATGGAGCTGTTTCAGGGGGCAGGAATACGTTCGGGTTTGGCAAGGTTAAGAAGTTAAAAGCAAAGGACATATTTATGACTCTCGGTGGTGCTGGGACTTGTTCTGGGGTTAACGGAAAAGATGAGGTCCAGGGCATGCCAGTGTAGATGAAAGGCAGAAGTGCTTACCTGGAGCTAGACGGAGCTGAGCGTACAAGTCTGACAACTGCAGAATCTATAGCTCTTTGGATCGTCCCTCATCTGTAAGCACTGGTACGCGCCGCATTATTGAAACGTGAGAGAGCGCTGTCTCCTTTGAAGAAAACCTGTTCGCAGTCTCGATGAAACAAGTTGCATTTTGCTGGTGTGCATGGAAAATGATCCTCTCTGAGGCTGCAAGAGACTTGGGAGTAAACTTTCTTGGGGCTGCTTTGCCTATCACCTGAAACACCTGTGGCACGTCACTAATGGCATGGGCAACCTCTTGCGTATGGTACGTGGCCGATTGGGGAAGGGGACTGGAGTGGCCTCAGGGGGGGTGCGGGGCTAATTTTGGCACGCCTGCCATAAAGGTTGGCTCCCCCCGATCTAAAATACCACATGCAGCTCGCAGCTCTGACCTGCCCCTCTTGGAGCTGGGCCCTGTGATGCTGCGTCTCATGTTTTGCGATGGGTTCGTTAAGGATCCGATAGAAGAGTGGCTTCTTGCACGGCACAGCTAATGACGGACTCGATTGGGTTCACATATGAGCGGGTAACCTGTCTCTTCTCTTTCTGTCCAAGGAAGAAGAGGACACTTTCGTTCATCAGCCGAAGGGCGTGCAAATTGTGTGTTACGTATGTTTGCCTTTCCAGCATTATTATCTTTTTTGCATTTGATTCTTCAGTGAAACCAGTAAAGGCTGATTCATAGCATCATAGAAAATGAGGGTGGGAAGGGACCTCCGGAGGTCACACGTAGCTCATCCCCTTGCTCAAAGCAGGACCAGCCCCAACTAGATCATCTAGGCCTTGTTTCCAACAGCAGTCTGAATCACCCAGATTTTTCTTTGCCATTTGCTTCCCTGAGCTTGCTGCCCCGTAGCCAGCTCCTTCCCTCAGAGTTGGGAGCCAACTAAAAAGAAAGCACTGATCTGACTTGACAGCCTCTCTTCGGTGCATAACAGCACTTGAACAGTTCAGAAACCTTGATGCATTTTATCATCCTACTGCTACAGTGATGATAAGGTTGCTGCTCAACAATCCTGCCATTCTGGGGGTAGAGGACCTCTTGGGAGCCTCTGGGACCTCCTGGGAGCCAACGCAATCGGGAGCCAAATTGAAATCACCCACTGGGGAAGAATGAATTCAGCTACCTTGTCCTTCCACAAATCAGAAGATGGGAATAATTCATTTCCCTCTTCAGAAAAAACGCGTTGCCAGTCAGTCAGAGGAGGGGGGACACGCTTGCCCCTTGTTCCCACTCCAGTTGTTCATGCTGTTGGATAAACCCGGAGGGGAATGGCTCCTATCACATTTGAAAATAGTTGAGATTTCAAAATGTGTTTATATTCCTTGTTGTGACAAAATCAAAAGTTTTCCAAGTTTTTGGCAGAAAATGAGAGTGATTAAGGACAAAGGATCAGATGCCTGACTTTAGTGCATTGCCGTTCTGCATCTAAAGAACTTGTTATATGTATAAATGCCAGTCGATGATATGCCTGCGTGCAGAGGAGAGGTGGTGATGTGGACTAATGATTGCCGATCATTTCCTTTCCCTGTTCTCCCATTCCTTTCTTGGGCATAACAAAGGTGCCGTTCACCTGCTCCCAGCTCGGCTATTGACAGGCTGTTGCAGCATGTGGGAGACCTGTTGCTCACGCTCAGGTCCCGAAGTGTTCAGGATACTTTTGTAGTTCAGCAGTGACTTTCTAACCAGTTCAAGAGTGGTTTTGCTAGGCCCCAGCAGGAATCCTGCCTAGCACTTGTTGCCTAAAAGGACAGTGAGAATCCAGCGAAAGGAAGGCAGGGCAGAAACTGGATGGGCCCTGGAGAGTCTAGCAGAGATGTGGCAGTCCCCCATTGTGGGGCAGCGGGGAGGTTTTCTCAAATAGTTATTGTCTAGCCAATTCTCTGTTTTAAATTGTTTTGCTTTTTCTTTCAGAACATGTGTGGGTCAGTAGTCAGACTCCTGGGAGCCCCCAGCAAGGCCCATAAGACAAGTGGACTGAAGAGGCTGCTGGAGCTGGAGGATTCATTGGCTGGCGAAGCATGTGTTTGCTGCTGGTCCACTCCGGTATTTCCCTGACACCATAAGAAAGTAACACAACACGTGGCTGAGTAGCCACAAGAGAGGAGTTGGCAGGAGATGGATGCTTTCTCTCTCTGGCAGTGGCTTGAATTCATGTTGTTAGTGCTCGGAAACCTTTCCACCCCCAGCCCTGCCTGGGGTGCGATTTGACAAGTGTGACAGAAGAGCACCATTGTCTAATTCCTAAGAGATGGGCATTCCTGGGTGAAAAATCACCACCATAGTTGGTGGCCTTGCTGTCAGAGAAGGAGTTGGGAGTCAATTTGTGCTCTCCGGTCTGTGTTGGGTAAAGCCCTTCCAGAGAGGAATAGCAGGAGCAGGTCAGCCTCTCTTTGTCATGTAGCCCAGGTACCAGTAGCAAGAGCAGATGGTGACCTGTTTTTGGTTTTTTTTTTCTCAGTGAAAGCAGGATGTTAGGAAACCGCTGTTGAAGCGAGGCTGAAGGAGACAGATTCTCAGCAGAGGCTCCTAGCTGAACAGGACTTCCTCGTACCTGATCAGGCTGTGAGATCTCCGGGAGATCTTCCTCTGCATGCGTGGGGTAGAGTGGAATGGGCCCAGAATCATCCCTTTTCATCTGTTTGGTGGTTATATTTTAGGGACTACTAAAATGCCATTTTTCCTGTCTCAGTGGTACAGGAATAACATGATCCATCTCCTCCAGTGTCCTGGGTCGGACAGTGGCCTCTTTGGAGGCTCTTCAGACATTTCAGAGGCAGGCATAAGAAGCCTGCTCTAGAAAGAAGTGTGATAGTTTGTCCCCCTCATCAAGGTGTCATCCTAATCCATAATAAAGATTGGTTCAAGATGTGAATCATGAGGTGCTTTTTGTCCCCAGGCTCTTTTTTGGTTTTTTGGCATTCATGCTGGGGTGTCTTGCTATCTTACAAATGCACAATTTTTTTTTTTGAATCTTATAAATTTCTTGGCCTCAAAAACATGCTGTAGCTAGTAGTCCAGCATTTAACTACACGTTGAATGGAAAAGCCTGACCAGTAAATAATGATTTGTGCCTTGTGCTATTACATGGGTTCAACCCCCTGTTGCTGTCAGTGCGGTGATGGCAGCCTGCCTCCATTCAGAAAGGAGAGGATGCCTCCCGTTGTCCTTTTGGCATCAGGAACGGTGACTTCAGTATGCAGAAGTCAAGGAGAAGTATGAAAATAGGATTGTTCAACGTGGTTTCAATAGGGGCAGGTAGAACTAGGGGACAGTGAGTGTTTCATTGAACACTTGTTTTCCATTTTGAAAACATCTTGGTCAATGGTGATGTTTTTCTCTTTTAGAAAATGTCTAAGCCGAACTGGGGAGTGACCAGCAGCAAGGCTCTGAGGGGATGTAAGAGAGCGAGGCTGGAGGGATCAGAGCATATGTCAAATGAGGGAGCTGCTGATTTGCAGCCTGCTCAGGTATTTTACCTTTCACAGCATCCTCCTCACCTAACCCAGGGGGAAAGGGAGTTGGGGACAGCGAGGAGTTGGGGACATCTGATTTCCCAAATGCAAATTTAAAGTGAAGCACAGAGTGAGGACCCAGAAGGCTGATCCTGTGCTCTTCTACCTCTGACCTCAAGATCGTTTAGTTTGAGTCTGCCCAAGGTCCCTAGCAAACCAAAATTGTTACCAGCTGCTGACTGTCACGTGATGCTTTTTGTCATCTTAGAACAATGCCTTCACAGCTGCAACCTCAAGGACAGGGGGTGGAGGGGGCTTGCACATTGTATTTTGGATCGTGGAGCTGGCTGGGGGAATCCAGTTGAATGCATATGCAGGAAATCCCAGTTCTGCTTGAACTGGCCTTGCTAATGGACAGGTGTCCTGTTGCAAAACAAGGATATGATGCCACTGTTCAGGTATTTGGAAGGTATAAATAGGAAAGAGAGGTTGTTTTCAGTAGGAGAGAAACAGTAAAACAAATAACAGTGTGCTGACACTACCCACAGTCTCTCAAGATAGAGACTATGAACAAAAGATACTCTAAGCAGAACACTGAACTGCGTTCGGGTGTGTAGTACATGGGATGCATAGTTTAGGGAAGGGAATGAGTCACCAGCAGATTAGATAAAATCCCAGCTGGATTATTGCAGGGGGGAAATCCTGGTTGATAATGGGCTTGTTGACTTCAGAAGTCTCTTTAGAACTGGGAGCTGTCTAGGGCTGAATCCTGCGGTCTTTACTTTGGCAAAACATACATTGATTTTAATGGGAGTTTTGGCCTTGTGAAGGTTTCAGGTTAAAGAAAATAGTAATTCAAAGAAGTGCCTGATTAGGGTTGGAAACATGCCTGCAGTTAGGTACTTGCCGTTGTGTTGCTGAATGTTGTGCTAGCAAGAGTGATTGTGCACATCTGTCATGAATTCTCCCATATCCCTTTGTCATTTCATCCTCTTTTTTCTTATCTCTTCCTTGCCATAGAAGGAAATTAAAGACAGCAACTATAACGCAGCGCTGCCTAAGAAAACAAAGTGGCTCCAGAAACCGTATGCAGCACATGTGCTTTGGCAAAGGCCTTTGAACTCAGGTAAGTTGTTACACACTGAAACGCAGAACAGGTGGCCAGACAGCCTAGCCATTGTGTTCTCACTGTTGTTAGCTGGGCTTGTTCGTGTTCTTTGTTGTATTGCATTTGGAGCAGGTTGCAAGCCTGCCAGAAAGGAGGTGTAACAGGTGGCAAACCTCAGAAGCTGCCGCTCAGCTGCAGGCAAGCAAGGTGATTGCAAGCCTGCTTAGGAAGACTGCCCGGCTGATACGGATAATGGGTTGGCCACAGGAAGTAAAAGGCTCCCAGGAAGGCCCTGGTGAGCCTCCCCCGGGGGCCCAGCAGGGAGGTGGCAGTTCTGGTCCTTACTGAGGAAGACAGAGGCAAAGAAGTTATTAAATATGTTGGCTTTGTCGTCTGGCGTGACAACCAGATTCCCCGTCTTGTCCTGCAAGGGCCCCACATTTCCTGGGGCCTTCTTTCTACTCCCTATGTACTTAAAAAAGGACTTCTTGTTGTCCTTAATCCGGGAAGCCAGCCCCTGTTCCATCTCTGCCTTGGCCTTCCTAACCATCCCCCTACATCCCCGAGCAACTGCTGAATAGTCCTCCTTAGTGATGACCCCTCCTTTCCATTGGGAGTAAGCCTCCTTTTTGGCAAGGAGACATTCCTGGATGTTTTTAGTGAGCCATGGAGGCTTATATGCTCTCCTGCCCCCTTTGACCCTCCTGGGGATTACCTTCCTCTGGGCTTGGAGGATCGTCTCCTTAAGGAGCGACCACTCCACTTGGACACCTGGCTCCCCTCCCCTCTTGTTGTGTTCAGATCTTCTGCTTCCTATAGTGGCAGTCCATCCAGAGGAATTATTTCCATGTGGCAGCCCATCCTTCACAAGGACTGCTGGACAAGAGAGGTTTCAACTTGTTGTGGAGCAAAAAAGAGCATGCCTAGTGATCCATTAGCTTTTTCCCAGGGGTCAAATTGGGCTAACTTTTGCCAGTTTGGGTTACCATTACTTTTCCTGAGAATCTGGATACTTGTGCTTTGGAATCTAAGCTTTATTTATTCAGATAATTAAGATTGTAGCCCTTATGTTTGTGAAGTAAACTGTCCATGTAGGAAAAAGACACCAATAGGAGCACAGGTATCTTCTACCTGAGTATTTAGAGAGGAGAAAACAGTAGTTACGAGATGGAGATTTTTTTTTCCCTCAAAGGGGTGTTGAACCTGAAGCCAAATGACAACTTTTGGTATTCTACATTAGTTCACTTTTGAGAAACAACTTGAGGAAAGACAAGGGAGGATCCAATTAGGTGGATTCTAACTGTCTGCATACTGGCATTAGGTTGCATCGTCTCTGTTGTCTGCCATTATAGACTGAGATTGGGCTGAGCCAGTCCCTGGTCAGTCCTTGCAGGATCTGCATTTGAATCACCGTTCACATTGAATCCATTTGTTCACAGCACCAAGCACCAGCATGGTTTAGTATGATGTATTCGCTGCTGAATAAGCTGCCTGAGTAGCAGGTAACTGTCACAGGTCTGGGAGTTGTGAGTCAGAGTCGTGCAGCAAAGCCTGAGCTCATGGTGTGACCGTTTCATGGCATAATGACACCCATCCTGAGACTTGTGCTTAGAACAATAACGTAATTACAGCAGCAGAAACCTTGGAATATTATTCAGGCAGCTTGAATCCCTGTATCCATCCTCCTACTCTACATGAAAGAGAATTTGCTAGCTGTGTTGTCTCTTTGGGGAAGGAACTTTAAGAGGCATGGGTCCTCCACCTCCAGAATGGCAGGATTGTTAAGCAGCGAGCTTATTATCACTGGACTAGCAGTGGGATGATAAAATGCTTCAAGGTTTCTGAACTGTTCAAGTGCTGTTATGCACAGAAGAGAGGCTGTCAAGTCAGATTGGGGCTTTCTTTTCAGTCTCCCTGGGTGCGTCTACACGTACACTTTAATGTGCAGTAGCTTATTTTATTGCTCATCAAAGCATCACATAAAAAACCCCACAATTATGCTAATGCGCAGTGAAATAGGCCCCTGCACTTAAAAACCGTGCATGTTCATTACTGCGCATTAAGGCAGCCTCGTGGTCATTTCTTTAGTACCTCACATTGGAGGCACTAAATTTAATGCACATTAGCAAAAGCGCCTTAATGCACGTGTAGACGCACCCACCGAGTTCTAAGCGTGTTTGCTCAGTTTATAAGTTGAAAGGAGTTTTCTTTAATGGCTAGCATCTCTGCTTAGAGTCTGACAATTCAGGCTTGTTCCTCCTGCCTCTGTTTATCTCCAATAATAAAGTTTCTGCCTGGGGGTTGAATTCTGCTGGCAGTACTTGAAAAGGCAATGAACCCAATTTGCTACTAGCATCTGGGTCTGCAGAGAAAGCAAGAATAAAAATTAATTTGGAGTCTAGGCCTGTACCCCTGCCTCACACTGACTAGTTCTCCCTCAGGCAGGGAATCCACTGAGGTCACGAGTAAGTAGTAGGCCAAGGATGTGGGATTTGCAGAACCGGGCCCTTCGTTAGTAAAGTCAGCAGAATTGACTTGGGCACTCGCTGTCTTAGCAGGCAGTACAGAAATGAAGTTGTTTCACTTGTTGGCACTGTCTGTCAGCAGGAAGGTAGTTGCCACAGGGGATCACTAACAGTTCCCTGCGGTGGTCTAACTTTGTTGGTAGCATTTCTACAGCTAGCAAGGAAGATCTTGCTTTTCTGCTGATTGATGTGTAGGTGACCTTTGTTTTATTTATAACCGCAGCCCCATAATTCCCCAGGTAGCAGATGAGCAGCAGTCTCGTCCTGAAGCACATGCAGCCTCCGGTTGCTATAAATAGATTAGACCTTAATCCTAAAAAAGATAAAGCAGTGCTGCTCCTTGGATGGATTGAATGATGTCAGGGAGAATTTTCCAGCGTGTGCAATGGAAGGAGCAGTATTGGGAAGCTGTAACCGAATGCCACAGGTCACAGCTTTGGAGTAATCTGCCCATTCACCTGTCCCACGAATAGGGGGAAATCTTTGCTCCAGACCCTCCAGAGGGTCACCCCTTGCTTTTGCTTTGTTAAGGTAATGATATCACACGATCTGTTCTGCCATTACAGACAAGCTGGGAGGGGGCAGTAGATACCCCCTGACAAGACCTACTGGAAACCCTTGAATAGGTCACAAGGTTCTGCTCCTGCTTGTAGCAATTTATAGGAAGGTGCACATGTTTTCCTTGCAGGCGTGGAAGGTCTGTATTCACATCAGCTTCAATCCCCTTTGTGTTTTTCCAAGAGTGTAATGTTCTTTGAGTGAAGCTGCTGCAGCTTAGTATTTCCTTTTTTGCCTTGGATTTTAATTTAGCTACATCACTCACGAATGTGACCTTTTTCCATGCCTCTCTGTAAGTCATAGATTCGGAGGTGTGAGGGTCGGAAGGGACCTCAGTAGGTCATTGAGTCTGACTCCCTGCCCTGGGCAGGAAAGAGCGCTGGGGTCAGATGACCCCAACTAGGTGCTTGTCCAGTCTCCTCTAGTCCTTGTCTTCTTTGTGGCCACCCTTCCTAGTTTAAGCGGTAAACCAATTAACCAGTTTACTATCGGCACCTGTGTCACAGGGTGTCAGGTATGTCAGGCATTACTCTGCACTGAGTCATGTCACAGCACTGTGATGCAGTTTTACTGTATCATTGGGTGATCGTGGCCATCAAGATACAGAAGTGGAGAGCCAGAATCGAAACAGTTAAGATAAGTTAGTATAAGTAGCAGTTAGAAGAATTAATGAACGGTGCAGTTTAGTTATACAGCGCGTGGTGCTATGTCCTTCTGTGTTTATAGCAACTTACCCAATACCCGTTCTGTGGAATGCCAGGATCCCTTTTTATGGTGGATTCCATGCTGCTAGACAGAAAGCAGTGCCGTTTGCACTGGCATTATCTAGCTGCTTGAAATTCAGAGCCGCTGTTTTCAAGAATGTGGGTTCAGGTACAACATGGGGAATTTTTCCATCGTTTTGAGTTCATGTTCCACCCCCCAAAACTAATTAAAAGAATTAGTCTTTTTATTGCATGGTGAAATGCAATTCCTTTTGTACAGCTCTGTCCAAACAAAAGCTGAACCCAGTGATTCTCAGCCACGGTGCCATGGCACCCTGGGGTGCCTTAAGACCCTTTCAGGGGTGCCGCAGGGTGCCACACAGTGTTAGCACTGCAAGGTGCACAAACGTGATTCACAAAATAAACCCAGGCATTTCGAATAGGAATCCACAGCATCAAAAGCAGTCTGAACTGTTGTGATCTTGCTGAATTCTCTGCAGCAGAAGAATTGCTCAAGTATTTTTCTGGAGTCAGATACTGAGCAAAAATTAAAATCTGACATTTTCCGAGGGGTACCATGAGTTTAAAAAAGGTTAAGAACCACTGGCTTAACCCCATGGTTCTCCTGCCAGCATTTCCAGGAGAGTGTCTGAGATCTTGGTGCTTCCTTTTTTCTTTTTAAGATGATGATAATGAGAAGAGGAGGAGGAGAAGGGCAAGATCTCTCCCTAAGGAAGCTTCAGTTTCTGTTCCTAGTTTGCCGCTGTCTGCAGAACAAATTCGGGTTAAAGTAATTGACTCACTGCGTGGGATGCTACAGAAAAGGTGAAGTTGCTCATACGTGATAGGAACAAGGATAAAAAGAGGGCTGGGGACATTCTGCATAAAAGTCACATGCAGTTATTGAGCAAAGTCTTATGTGAGGGTTGGTGCTCATTAGATGCCAAGGCAGCAGAAACTTCTTTGTGAATTTGACTCCAGTTATTCTGTAGCAGAATAAGTCTTTAAGCACGCAGCACTCAGAACAAGCCTCTCCTTGTTTCTTGTAGGGGAGGCCCTCAGTTTTCTTTACTTAAACTCCTCTTTAGTCCTGCATCAACTGTCTCCTTTCAATGAGAAATGGGGTGGGATTCCCTTCAGCATCCCTCTGTGCAATTCCTCAGTCACCCAAAGGGGCCTGTCCATGAGTGCTGTGAACCTCTTCTTACCACCTGCGGCGAATGGGCTGCTGCTTTAGCACAACCAGCCCCAGTTGATTTGAGGATCTTTGGGGTAGGAGCTGAAAAATGCAGCCCTTGAAGACAAATCATATTTTATTTGGGACTCAGCACGTTACATATGGAGTGAAGTGCTGGCAGAAGCATATGCACACCGGAATTATTTATTGCGGTAGATTGCTCCATTTGTTAGCTCTTTGTTGCTAGTGTTCATGTTTATTCATTTAGCAGGCTTAGCTCTTTATCAGGTAATCATGTAAGAAGGTTATGCCATTGCACAGCAAATTGGATCAGGGCGGTGAGGTGCAGTGAGGTTAATGCAGTAGAATTCAAGAACTGAAGAGCTGCTAGCTTCAAACTCTTACTAAGTCACAGGTGGAAATGAATTTGGTGGCACATGGCAGAAAGCCTGATTTCCCGCTGTCTGGCATAGTAATTTGAACTCGCTTCATGATGCTCAGCTTTTATTCATAGAGGGCCTGGTACAAAGCTCTGTGAAGTTCATGAAACATTTCCCATTCCCCTTTTGTTTGCAAGGCAAGAAAGGTTGGCCTGACCTAGCAGAAACCACCCACCACTGGCCATTGTCAGGTGTGTGGCAGTCCAAGGGGTAAAATGGGGAGAGCGCTGCACCTGGAGTGGAATGGCATTGGCAAAACTGTCTAGGGAAAATGCACGTGGCCACTGCAGTTTAAACTTCTTTTCTGTGAGCAGTACATTTATCCACAACATTTGAAACCAGAATATTAATTTGACCTAGTGAATGCAGGTTTTTGACCAGCCTGGTCTTTGTTAGTGTTTCTTAGGTAGACTTCTCTATGCTGGAGGTCAGGTTACAATGAGGTATTGAAAAAGTGAGATGCTTGGAGTACAGGAGATAGGAGGGCCCCATGCTTAAATGGAAATTATTGCTTGGAGATACAGTGCCATTCCCCTGGGACAGTGGCTCTCGAACTTCTTTGGATTTATAGTCCTATTTTCAGCTTGTTCTGTTGCTGTGTACCCCGGTGATTCCATTGTGAAAAAATAATTTGGCTTTATGGCACTATACCCACACGGTTTTCCATCACCTGCAGTGGTTTAAGAGCTTTATACTCTTTCACTTGAGCCCCCACAGATATGAGATTTAGGACTGTATCCTCTGGCCATGCTCTATCCCCTTTCCAGCAGAGATGTTGTAGAATTGTTTTTTTTTTCTTTTCTTCTTTTCCTCCGTTTGTTTCCTCAATCCCTCCTCCTGCTTTCCGATTCTTTACTCTCTCATATTCTCTGGGAAGGTGATTCTCAGCCAGGAGGATGCAGCACCCTGGGGTGCCTTCAAGGTCCTTTCAAGGATACAATGGGGCGCTATGCAATATTAGCACTGCAAGGTGTGTAAACATGATTCACAAGATAAACCCAGAGGTTTCAAATAGGAATCCACAGTGTTAAAAACATTCTGACCTGCTGTGGTTTGCCTGTGTTCTGTGCAACAAAGGAACTGCTCTAGTATTTGTCTGTAGTTGAAAAACGAGTGAAAACTAAGAGCTGGTATTTTCTGATGGCTGCTCTGAGTGTATTGAGGGGTGCCTTGAGTCTAAAAAAGGTTGTTAACCCCTACTCTGGAAGTTTATCACATACCCTCATCATGGGCATATCTGGAATTTTGAAAAGGGGGGTTGCAGATAGTGAGATGCATCATCGTGTATAAAACAGCACGTACGTTTTCTCCAGTTAAAAATAAACCAGAAATTTTACTAATACACGAGGGGTCTGGCACCGAATTATTCAGTTTAAGAGTGAACAAATGTAACTTCGTTGGACTGAGTTAAAAAATAGGAGCTTTGTTACCAGGAGCAGCGAACAGACAGCAGAATTTTAGAACAAAGGGTAGCTTGATTGGTGGAACATCAAGACCATTAAACAGGGGAGAAGGTCATTAAACCCTGTGGAATGAAGAGTTTAGAAGGGATCAGGTAGATTTTAATGAGCAATGAAGTCAGTTGACCCCCGTAGCACCACTTGGCTAGACACGTTGCTGTCCTGTCCAGGAAGCTGGTTTTAAATTTTGGGTGGACCAGGAATCACAGAGGGATACAAGTGCACCCACCAGTGCACCTCTCTGGATACACCTCTGCTCCCCATGTACCTGCCTTGGGGTGCGGGAACAGATCCTGTTGCACGCACAGCTGGCAGTTGCCCCGTGTGTAATGTGAGCATAAGCAAGTTGAATTATTTGAGGGTTTCTGACATGGCTGTATAGTTTGAACAAACTGTTTAACCATGTCAATGGTTTCCCTTTGAAACGGTGGGAAGGTTCATTTTCTGAAATCCCCTGCTCACAGACTGTTTCAGGTTCAGTGGAGGTTTCTTAGGCCCATTTATTTGGAGTTTTAACTGAAGAAAGCATGCCGGTTTGGAAATCCAATTCCCAGGTATCAAGCCGCTCTGGTATGTCCAACTAGTTCTTGCTTACTGTGCTCCAGGTTGGAGGAATCTCTTGATCTGGATGTCCCCGAAGACACGATAATGAGATTAGCAAACAATATTGAGAAGGAAATATTCCGCCTCTTCCTTTGTGTTGACCAGCGCTATAAAAAAAAGTACCGCAGTCTCCTCTTCAACCTGCGAGCACCAAAAAATAAGGTAACAGATGGAGACAGGCTGCCAAATGCTTTCCAATACTCTTTTGCTAGTGTTCTGCATTATTAAATGAGAAGTGGTGGACAGATGTCTTTAAACATGTGTCTGTATAGAACAAGAGGCCTAAGCACAGACAGAAATGCTCCAGCCTTACTCTCATTCTGTTCGCTGCTGGAAGAAGCCTGCATTACAATATGTCTAGGCATCCCGCTCTTGGACCCCCCGTGACCCTTAGAAACTTTATGTAGGGTACCAAGGCACCTCTTAATTCATCACTAGGGGTCTACTTAATTCACAGTTTTGTGGATTTTGTGTAAATGGTGTTGCCTGCCATCACCAGGAAATATTGCATTGGCTGCAATGTCTCATGAATCAACCTAAAAAATCCCCCCCCGGCGTATTCATAAAATACACTGTTTTAGCGTATCCCAATACTTACCGCAATACAAAGACAACGCAACAATCGCCGCAGCCATAGATCACGTGATTGAGAGTTACTGTCTGCCAGCGACATGGACCGAAGTGAAGGCACCAGTCAGTGAAGCGCAAATGTTTCTATTAAGGTGAGCATTCATTAGTATTTCTAAACGTTTTGTAGAACGCTATATATAATCATAAATGATTATGATATGAGTTACCATTCCTATTATATATGCATTTATATTGATAATATATTTACATTGAGATTTAAATCTAATATTCAGGTTTATAATAATATGCTAAATTATATGATATAATTTACTTTTCACGGAATTTGCAATCAAATTATGTGGTATATGCCTCTCTGCCAATCAGCTGCCAGGGGCGGGGCTGCTGGGAAATGCCCGCAAAATCAGCTCTCATGTTGCAACCAAGCTGTAAAAATGGCTTAATCTCACTGTGAGTTAAGTAGACCCTTGTTCATCACTAGTGGCCCATACCCTGCCTACAGTCTATTCATTTTACTTCCATTGCAATTGGGTAAAGACATTTGTTCGGTTCCACCCACCTGGGTATCTGCTGCACAGCGTATGAAATCAGGCCTGCCTTGGTGTATATACCTGTCATCTGAAGCTGCTGTCTGGGGAAATTCAGGCCCATATATAATTCCTGGCATGACACAACCCATCTGCATTTGAGCCCTGCTGGGAGTTTAGACGACTTTGCCAAGTAATGTGATAAAGGCTTTGAAATACTTATTTAGCAGGGGATGGAAAGAGGGAGATCTTTGGAAGCAGAGCTGACTGCAGACAGCCCTTGTTTTGCTTCACCATTTTCTGTGCTTTCAGCTCCTCTTCCAGCAGGTGGTTCTTGGTGAGGTGACGCCACAGTGCCTGGTTCAAATGAATTCCCTGGAGATGGCACCAAAGGAGTTGGCAGAGTGGAGAGCCAGGGAGCACAAGCAGGTAAGTCAGTCCACTGCAGCTGCAACGTCAGGCCTTTGCAGTTGTGACGTGCCCATCCCTTGGACTGGCAGTAATGCAGATGACCTAAGCCAGAGTCATAGCTGCTCTGTGCTACTTAGGGGCATTAACTTCACATCAGTTGAGAGGCCTGATGCTTTGATTGCTTTGCCTCTTCCTAATCTGTTTATCTTTTTTGTAGCCTTTTATAAAAGCATGATAACAGAATGGTGTACTGCTCTTCTCACTGCTGCTACAGGGAGCTTGCTAACCATTGGCTTCCCTTGTACGGTGCGATGAGGTTTACATAACTGCGATCCTTTTTTCTTAACAGTGAGAGACTCCTTAACAGTGTCAGACTTGAGGTGCAGAGGGGAAGGATGACTCTTGGGCACTGGACAGTTTGGGGCATGGGCACCAGCTCCATGGGTACCCCAGGGCTCAAGCACCCACCGAAAAAATTAGCAGGTGCTCAGCACCCAGGAGCCACGGCTGGTGAGCCAGGCTGAAGTAATGCACTGCCTCTTCTCGGCATGCACAGGGCTCGGTGCAGGAATGCATGACTTCAGACACTGCGTTTTCATTTTGGTTTTGACCTCTATCAGTTCTAAAAAATGTATTTTTGCAACCAAAAGATGCCCTCTGGGGTCCATACACTTCACAGTGAATCTTCCAGGTGCTGGAGGTGATAGAGAAACAGCAGCAAGAAGCACCAATACGTTGCTCCACAAAACTGACCCACAAAGGAGAAATAGAGATACACAGAGAGTTGGAAGAGAACGTCACCTTGGAAGACCTGTTTGTGAGTATTTGAGCAGAGTAAATTTACTCAGTGTCCTGCCTGGTAAGATATAAAGGGAGAGGCAAGGGGAAGTCCTAACTGTTTGAAACCATCTTGTTCACTGAAGCTTAAAATGCCAATTTCTGGTGTCTGAATCTTTGTGCAAGTGGTTTTCAGTTTAGTGGGTTGGTTGGCGTGACAGGCTGACTAATGGACAGCAGGTTAGCATAAAGCTTTTTTTTTTCCATTGGACTCTGCTGTTCCGATCCTGAAGTTATGATAAAAACAAGATGGATGGTTTTGTTCTAATGTAATGAAGACATTAGCCTTCCTAAAAACACTGTGCAGTAGGGGTGAGGGCCTGCAGGGAGGAATGCAGGTTGACTTCAGGCCATTGAGATAAGGAAGCTTACATGCTGCTGCTTATCTGACTTGTGATGAGTCCGGGTTAGTGCTGTATCCCCTCACCCAGTTTATTTTTAAAAAGGACATCACTGGAGCTATGGGCGAGTAGATCAGAGTCTCTTCCTGTACAAATGTGTTGAACCATTTGGATTAATTATAAAGGGGATGGATATTCTGTGGTATGTAGATGGGGTGTCTCCATCTTTTCAGCAAAAGGTTATGGTTAACTGATAGTTCGTTGCTAAGAGGCCTGGTTTGGACTGTGGTTTGAAGGCTTCTTTGAAAGATGGAAGGCAGCATCTACCAGAGTGAACCTAGGTATTGCCCCGTGCCATGATGGCCTCCCCCTACCCTGTCTTGGGACCATGGGTGAAACCAGGGGGTGAACGAGAAGAGTCTGAATGGATACTAAGCCATTACTTCCAATAACACTGTTAAGGGGCATAGCCTGAGTACAAATAAAGTCCCACCTGTACATGTGGCTAACTTGTACGTTTCCTTTAGGAATCAGTGTTATGTATGGAGATGCAGCCTATTCCCCAGCCTGCTAGAGAGTCTGAAAAAGACACCACAGACCAGCATAAAAGTCACTTACTGGACCTGGACTGCCATATCTGTACTGGTAAGTAAGCTGGGAGAAAGGATACCGTCGCTTAGCCTGAGAGCTTACATTTTTCCTGAAGTTAACCTTTTTCCACATCACAAATCCATCTAACAATTTGATACATTTTATTCAGGTGTCCCAACAAAGAACGTTTCTGGTCAGGGCAGTAGTATCTTCTTGGAATACCTAGGCCAAGCTAATGTTCTTGGTTAGTCACTCTTGTGGTCACTAAGTTCACCTATAAAAACACCTGTATGAGCAAGCCCAGGGAAATAGCAAGAAAGAAGTCATGGGGACTCACGCTAATACTAGAGAGAGGGGAGCACCCTTTTCTCCTCCCTCTTAGTCCCAACCTGTTCCATGCCAGATGCTGGCAGCTGGGATAAGTCTATGGCACATAAACAGCAAGTGCAGTATAGCTGAGACTTTGTTTGCTGGTATCCTGGGTAAATGTTATCTTTGGCGATGGGACAGTTTGAGGCACCTATGTATAACTTACAAGTTGCTGGGTTGTTGGTTGTAGCTGTGGTGGTCTAAGGACATAGGCAGGCAAGGGTCTTTGAGTAGATGTAATCTCTTGTATTAGTCCAACTGAGTAGTTGGAAAAAAATTCTTAGCAAGCTTTCAGGTGCAGTCACCCTTCTTGAGGCATAGGAAGAGACTTGAAGTTGGTCTAATAAAAGAGATCACATCTACTCAAAGAGCCTTGCCTTTTACGTATAACTTAGGCAGACAAGGTTCTTTGGGTGAATCTGATATCTTTTATTAGACCAACTATAAAAGATATCAGATTCACCCAAAGAACCTTGTCTGCCTATGTCCTTAGACCTACACGGCTACAACCTATACCCCTGTAGGTATAACTTAAGAATTCCAACTCTGCTTATGCTCTTATGCTCTTCAGGTTGTTTTCACTATATTCACACTCCTCCTATTAAATCGGGGCAGGTGGCATCTGGTGCTTGTGTGTCTACCGCGGAATGGGGTGATGCTTACAGACTATTAACTAATGAATGAGCTAGCAACAGAGTCTGCTAATCCCTGATCAGCCTTGTCAGCCATCTTCGGAGCCACAGATAAAGCAATGATACAAGACAATCACCCTCGAGTGGGAGGGATTGCTGATATATACATAGTGAATGAGCCATTCCATAGCAGGACAAAAGTGGGGTAAAATCATTATGCTCCAATTCACTAAAAACAGATGTTAGACTTGTGGGCGGGGGTGGTGGTGAGCCTTTTATCCTTGGATCCTACAGATGAGCAAGTGCATTGTCCCTTGTTAAGTACCAGTGAAGTGTCTGAATTAACACTTTGCCCTGGGATAGTAGAGCAGGGGTGGGCAATTATTTCAGACTGAGGGCCGCTTACTGAGTTTTGGCAAGCCATTGAGGCCCTTGTGACAGGCAGCCGGGGACAGAGAGATACTAATTTTCTAAATTTTTTAGGGGCCCTGTGGGCTGCATAGACTAGCCTGGTGGGCGGCATCTGGCCCCCAGGCTGCGTTTTGCCCACCCCTGCAGTAGAGGCTGATTTGAGTTAGTTGTCATTCAAACTGGTGTATAAATGACTGTCCCAGACCTATTTTGCTGGGAGTAACAGGCTGGGACAGTCAGTCCGGGGATAAACCCCCATGTCTGTTTTTAGCCCTTGTCTGCAGAGGAAAGGAATGAAGAGCAGGAGCAGGGACTACACTTTTTAGTGGTGGGTTTTAAAAACACACAGATGCAAAGGGCAGAGAAAGCCTAGAGGCAACAGGACCACTGGGGACCACTTCTGAGAAGGTCATCAGACAAGAGTGCCCAGGGAGTGAGCCTGCAGACCAGAGAATGAAACGGTGCCTGGAACTACCCAGACTGAGGGAGCTTTAAAATCCCAGAATTTAAAGGCATCGATGTGGGGAGCTTGACAGGTTGTGTGATGGGATAAACAGTGTTAGTTCCAAGGCAGTTTGTATTTCATCTCTTCTGCTTGAATTGGAAAGCCATTTTGTAAGAGATGAATGTGCTCAGAGGCCACAGAAGCATCCCATTTCCCTTTGACTTTACAGCACAGCCAGGCCCTGATGGGAAAGAAGGGTTTAACCCACCAAGGAACAAATCTCTCTCTCAGAAGAAGGAAGCAGAGCTCTTCAGAAAATTACATTCAACCAGAGTCTGTTCAGCCAGAGGGAGCCAACACTCGGAGAACAAGAGGTCAGTGTGGGAGTGGGGAGGCCGAGATTTGCTTTTTGCTTTTCCCTAGTTCAGTCTGAACTGTAAGTAGTAGATTCCTGTGGCAATCGGAAAATGTGGGGTTACTTCTACCTGAGCTGCTGAGCTGTGCAAGGGACCAGGTCCAGTCCATTTCAGAGGTGCTGTTAGAGGGGGGAGTGCTCTGAGTAACAAGATACCCAGTCTTAAAGAGGTGTAAACACCTGAGCATTGGCTGAGCCCAGGGGCTGAGTAAGTACCCAACATTAATGAGGTGCAAAAAGCTGAGTGCAGGCAGTTCTACCAGGAATTAGCAGGAAGGTCCTGAAATCAGTGGGCTGTGGCTGTCTTCACTTCTTCACCAGCTTCTAAAAGTGCCCATACATCTCCCCTTGTCCACATCACGAGCTTGAAAGATCCAAAGGCAGATCCAAACTGATGCTTCCTGGCTTAAACCAATTACCAGTGGCTTCAGGGAAAACTGAGCATGCCTGTTTGGCTTTTTACGTTACTGGGATGGGGTGGGGGTTTCCCTCACTTTAAAGCATTAGGTGGTGGCTGGATGCTGAACGAGATGGACCATTTGCCCCATCTAATACAGTGAATGTTATACCATAGCACAGGTAATCAGGGCTCGTGGTAGAGCTGGTATCTTTTATTAAACCAACAAGATTCTTGCAAAAAAATCTTTAATTGCAAGCTTTCAGGCACAAACACCCTTCATCAGGCACTGGAGAAAAGATTGTAAAAGTGATCTTGGGTAGAAATGAAAGTTCATATTTCATAGGATTTCATTGTGTAACACACACACACTCTCTCTCTCTCTTTACATCCTTGAGGGATGGGGATAACAGATGGGTCTGGAGAATAGAATTCATACCTGTTACCCATCCTCCCTGTTGCTCTTAGTCCATAGCCTTTGGGGCCTTTATCAAGAGGAGATGGGTGGGGGAAGGAGCATGTGTAGGTCCTTTAGCTGGGACTAAGTTCTGATCTCTCTGTCCAGTGGGGGAGATACTGGACATATTTTGTATATCTGATTCATGTGTTACAAGATAGAAGAGAGGTCCCAGGTAGACCAGCCAGCAATCTCCTTTTCCCTGCTGTAGGGTCCTGAGCATGCAGAGAAAGAGGTGGAATTACTCAGGGAGAAAAGGACTAACATGGGTATGAACCAGAACTTTCAGACCTGCAGGGATGGCTCCGCTACAAAACACATGCAAATCCCTCTTGCTTTCTTGTAGACCTGTCTCCTCCGGCATCCTCAGGAAGGAGCCAAGGCTGCAGAAGCCCCTGGATAAGAGCACAGTGCTGTGGGAAGGATCCATTCAGATGTTCAGCATCAAACAGTTTTCAGCCAAAGCGTATCTGGTTTCAGGCTACGGCAGCCACCTTGTTCAAGTACGAGCCTTGTTTTCTGTCATACAGTGGGAAGGAGAAACTCTTGTCTGCATCAGCGGGACTGCATTTGTTAACAAACACCCCCCATTGCCTGTGGTGTTCCAGGGGCTGTGTACCACAGCTCAAATATTTCACACATCCTTTTGAGCAGTTTAAAATCCTATTGCCCAGTCCTGCACTCCTTGCACAGTTTTTACCCGGCCGTTCCTCCCATCAGCTGTCAATGAAGCTAACGGGACTTTAAGTAGGAACTGATGAAGGAGATCAGGAAAAAGGGCGAATGTCCTGGGATGAGTTAAGTACTTTCAGGATCTGCGGTGGTTTGAGGGCTTTTATAGTTTGCTCCATGTATGCCCCCGCAGATGCGACAAACAGGACTTTAAAAGGATCTCCATTTTTGTGCTACTGCAGTGGAACAGTAGAACTGTGGAAATGAAAGCAGGGAGAGACCACTTATAGCAGCTAATACAGCCCTCAGGGCTCCTATGCAGGATGCTTCCTTGTAATACTTTGTCTGGTTAGAGGGATCAAAAGGGGCCTCTCAGAAAAGGTTCAGGTTGCAGTGTTTGCTTTTGATCTAAACCATATTATGCATGCACTGACGCCATGCTTCAGGTGGCTTTATATCTGGTAACGTAAGTGATAATAGTCATAACCAGTGGTGCTTAACTGTTTTGCCCAGAGGGCTGGACAGGCGGTGCCTGGTCTGTCCATGAGCTGCATCCAGCTGGTGGTCCTGATCCATGCGAAGGGGGCTGGGGCCAGCCTGGTCCCAATCCAGCCATGTCGGGGAAGGGGACTTGGCCCAGCCCCGCAAGAGGGGGCAGGTGATATGCCTCGAGCCAGCCACGTGCTCTGGTCCTGACTCAACTGCATGGATGAAAGGGTGTGCAGTTCAGCCCTGTGGGGAGAGGCGGTGTGACCCAGTCCCACCCTGGCCATACAGGGAGAAAGGGGGCATGGCCCAGCTCCAGTCTGGCCATGCAGAGGGAGAGAGGGCATGACCTGGCTCCAACCTGTCATGGGGGACTTGGGAATTTGGCAGTGAGGGTGGTGGTGGTATTAAATGCCTTTGCTTCCCTACTGCCATATTTCCCAACCTGTAGGGAGCCCCACAACCAGATGCCGTGGCTCCATGGGAGAGACTTGGCCGATGGGCCGGAGGTTGAGCACCCGTGGTCATAACAATCAACAGTCTGAATAGGAGGGTCCCTGAGTAGGTCCTGAATAAATCTGCAGGTTGTCAACTAATGACTAATCTTAATATGCTTGCCCTTTTGGTTTGTGCAGGCTCTACCAGCACAGATCCAGTCCAGGGGCTGTATTCTCCCGGAGGACGTCTGGGATTTTTTAGACATCATCTGGCCAGCTGAAGCCAAGGTATCCTTTCAAAAGGATTGAGTTTTGGGGTGCTGCTGAGGATAATTTTCTGTGGGAGAAACTGCCTTGCTAGCATGTCCTGGTTCTGTCTGTGTGTGGGCCAATACCCACCCAGAGGTCTGAATATTGGAACTGGTACAACAGTAACTCTCGAACCTTACATTATGGGAGCAGAACTGGGGTAGCAGCTGCCAGAAGCTGCCTGCATTCACACAGCTGAAATGGTTGCTGCTGCTGTGCATGCCACATCTCCTCCCCCCGAGCTGCGCTGACATCCACCAACAGGGCTGTGTGGTCTGGACTGTTTTAATGGTCAGGTGGGATTTTTTGGTTCAGCTGAAGCAAGTGACATTATATCATTGCAAGTGTCGAGTAGAAGTTGTACAGTGTTTAGGGTCTGGTCCTGAGACGGGCAGTGGACCAGTGGGAGACACACACTGTTCCCTTTCCTCCGCTGCAGTGCCTGGATCATATAAGGGAATTGGAGCTCCCCTCTGAAATGAGATTAAGCTTGAGCCCATTTTGGCCTGTGGCCTAAGTATCCTTGTGTTAGCCAGTCTCTGTCTTTACAGCACTTACTTACTGTTCATTGAACTTTGGTCACCGCGTTGTGTTTTTGGGCAACCCACAAAATGTCCCGATCTCTTTTTGTTTGCTTAGGAGATGAGTGTGATACGATTCTGCCCTGCTGTGGCCCAGGCCATGGGCACTTACAACATGCTCTACACATATTTGAACAACAAGCAGAGATATGGCATTGTGGACAGCAAGCAGATGGAAATGTTCCTGGTGCCTCTGCCAGCCTTCCAGCCCGTTCCTGCCAAATTCCACCCCCAGGGAGGCCCAGGTAGGGACTGGAAGCAAGCTGGGTGAAGTAACTTTGCTTTCTTTTCATTGAAGACCAGGGCTGGCAGCGCTGTAAATAATTTAAAGTCATCTGTGGCTGTACAAGGTATTAGGCACACAAGAGGCTGTAATTATTTCCCAAAGAACATCAAACTTGAAAAAGCCAAGTTATGGAGGGCCGCAGGAAACTCTTCCTGCCTGTGTCCTTGCTGTGTGATAACAAGCACTTAAAATCACGTAGCTGTACCTGGTCTTCTGGAGCATTTTCTCATCATACTTGAAACATGACCTGGGCACGAGGAGCCTGGTTCTCGCCAGGCTACTGTCAATCAGAAGTAAATCCACCAAAGTCCATGGATTTACACTAGCAAAAACTGAGAGTCAGGGAAAAGTGAATCAAATGTAGTAAACCCGAGTGGCCCAATGTCACATGGTATTTTCCTTTCCCTGCACAGCCCCACATCACATGCCCTGAGGTAGCTACCACACACACAGCTGATGAAAGGTCTTGAGCTTGCATGCTGATAAAGTGTAATGTAAACTCATGTAACCCCTGTCACACAGCACTGGGTGTTTCCATACAGCTCCTCATCATGTGAAATTCTGTTTGTCAGGGCCACTGCTAATCTCTCACATGATGTAACTTCATATAATCCCCCTGTCGGGATCATGCTCGGTGCATACTTCAGTGCAGGCTGGCAGCTGATCAGAGTTTCCAGTAATCATCACTGGCCAAGCCCCTTTAAGGAAGCAGCCAAGTCCATTGGTTACTGACCCCAAGTTGGTTCTCCTCTCAGCGAGGTGGGAGCTCAGTCCTTGCAGAGAAGCACATCATTCTAATGAGAAGTGTTTGTGTTCCTGATCTGGACCTTGGAGAGGGCTGCCATCGCCCCGGGGCAGGAGGCTAGAGGTGCGTTGATGCGGTACAGGGGTACCATACATAGGGCTCCCTTGAGCCGTCCCTGCACCGTGCCCTCTCAATGTCACCTGAGCCATTAGAAATGAGTTGCCTGTTGTTTTCAGCTACAAGTGAGGAGGATTGCAAATCATAGCAAAACCACCTTATATTTAGCTATGGTTTGCCTCAGGTCACAGCTGGGTGGACATGGCATGTTTGCATACAGCATTGACGCAAATCTACTTACTTAAAGTGAGTTTATACAATTAGTGTCAGTGTTTCGCCACTGGAGGAAGAAACGCCTCATTCACCAGCCAGGCTGGCGTATTGATTGATTCTGCTTCTGACCTACTGGGGGATAAAACACTGAAAACAACAAGGCGGGGATTTTTTTTTCTCAGCAGCCTTTAAAGTTGCACCCCAAACATTTGTGTACGCATGTATTGGTGTGCCTGAAAAACCTTGGATTTCCTGTTATAGGGTTTCAGTCAGAGCTGTGATTATAAGACAGGCCAGCCTATCCCAGCTAGCATAGGTAAAAATATCTGTGAATATGTGGCAACTTGGGGCAGGGTTATCTCAGTATGCGCTGAACAAAAAGCAAGGATTTGGCCCAAAGTTAGGAAGATTCCAGCAACCATTGCTGAGGGGCGGATGCTGGGGAGAATAGGAAACCCTTCTTTAATTCCATTGTTTCTGTCTTTTAATAGGTCTTGAAGCAAATCATTCTAGTTTATTATTAGGGCTGATCCTCCCAAAGGCCGCTCCTGGAAAGGCCCCTGCGAGGAGCCTAAGGCCCAGTCTCTCGACCGGAACCAGGAGGAAGAAAGTTACTTTTAAAACCAACCTCGTGACCGAATGCTTTCCACTTGCACCACAGAGTCCTGGGAGCAGACAGGAGCTGGCCCCTGCACCCCTGAGCAAGCTGCTGTTTAGCAGTGAGTGTTCCCCACTGATTTCTCATGGCCCCGAGCTCCTGACATTTGAGAATATGTTCACTCTCGGTGTGGCAGCAGGTGACGTCTTACATGAAGAGACGTTGTTTGGGGCGTCTGCTTCTCCGTGCCTCCAAACCAGAGGGGAGGAAGCCAACAAATACATCCAGAATGGGGCTCTCCATTCACTTGGCCACTTCTGCGTGAATCAGGAAGCTGGTGGAGAGCAGCAGGATGTGACGGGGGAGCTGCAGGTGGTTGTAGCACCAGACACCTCCCAGACCTGGAATACTGGACTGTTGCATCCATGGTCCTGTTGTCCCGATGAGGAGGGTGGCAGTGCTGCCTTCAATGCCAACATGTGTGCTGTTCCCCAATTATCAATCATGTTTTTTCCTCAGCCTGATTCCCACGAGTCTTCTGCTGCTTTGCACCTCCAAAATCCCGTTGCGACTGGAGACTCCCACCCAGGTGGCCCCATAGAGGAAGCATTGTCTCTGATTCACCAGCTGGAGGCACTGGTGCAGCAGAATTCACAGCTCCAGAACCAGACCTTTCCGTTTCCTTCCGTCGATGGTGCACCTCAGATGGCAGGAGGATCCACGTTTCCACCAGCCTAGCATGGAAGTAGTTGTGCCCCCAGCTCTGAATGATCCTTCTACCCTTGCGATTCTGAGTGTACGTATGGAAATACATCTTCCACTCCTAGCATCCTTCCCTCCTGGACAGAGCTCCCTGTTCCATACTTTCTCTTGCTTTCAAATCCTATTAACACTTAATGTAAAAACAACCAAATTGGATTAGTGGCTTTTTAACTATCGTGCGTAGGGCCAATTACAACTAAACGTAATGTGCTTTTGGCTCTGGTATAATTAAAACAACACTGACTTGCCATCTTGTAGATCAAGAAAAATATGATATTGCGGACTGTGTATGGATAGAGAGATCAGAACCCCTCCCTTCCCCCTCAGTTAAATCTTACTATAAAGTCCGATTTATGTGCTGTCTTCACAGCTGTTGGGCATTTATATTACCACGGCCAAGGTTTAATAATTAACATGATATGCCGATGACCCACGGACCCTACGATTTCAGGATGTTAAACGTTTCACTTTTGATATCAAAACACAGCATGCCAAACAGTATAGGAAGTAAATCCCCATTCTGGGCATTCATCGCCATGGAAAACCACCAGCACGACTGACCGAATGTGCTCCTTGTGCTTGAAAGCAGCATCGTCCCAAGACCAAGTTTGCAATTGCTCCTAGAAGGTGCAGCATCTGGCTTGCTGACAGTCCCCCATAGACTGCTTGGGAGGTTGCGGATTGCTTGAAACGTGCCCATAAGGCAAGGTGGCCTCTGAGGCTATTCCACCCGCACCAAGAACAGATGGAAGAACATGAAGGCATCTCGGCGTGTCGGCAGCCACCTGGTGGGGGGAGTGGAAGCAGAGACAGAGTAAGTGCCATGGTGCTTCAACCTGAGAGGGGACTTGCTCTCTCTGCTTTCTGTGGCTGCAACAAGGAATGAGGGACCGTTTCTCTGAGCATTGAGACTCAAGGAAGCACTTTGCAAGGCAGGGCTTGAGGCATTTTTTGTACCTGTTCAGAAACTATTTACCTCCAGGAGAAGAGGGTGACCTTTTTTTTTTTTTTTTTTAATGACCTCTGGTGCTCTTTGGACTTTAACCCTGTAGGAAAGGTTTTCAGGGGACCTTTTTAAAACAATGATAAGAGCATAAGCAGCATTGCCCACTGGCAGAATAATATTGAGCTGCTAACAGTTTTAACTTTACTGTGCAAGTACACAAAATGTTTTTTTTTATATTTATAGTACTTGTGGGTTATTTTTTTAAGTGGTTATTTAAGCACATAAATCTCGGGATCTTCATGGAGGATGGGCACTGTGTGTCAGTTGTTTGAGGCTCCTTCATTTTACATTGTCCCAGGACAGGATTTTAAAAATCTCTCATGTTCTTTGACCAGCAGGCACCAGCCGTGCTAGAAGACAAGGGTTCAAATATAGGCTGGATGCTGAGGTGACCTTCAGCTTGGGGGAAAGCCAGAATGGTAGATTGTTCTGTTTTTATGTTACGGACCTTGCAGTGGTTTTGAAATAAATATAAAGGTTAAACCCCCACCCTTGCAGTTTCTTAGCTTTTATTTTTTAACAGAGGTGGAGCCAGGCCGCTGAGAGGTGCCGGGCAGGACGGAGTTGGTCCCAACTAAGTTTGCAGATGGTGCCAGGCTTGTCGCGTGGTTCAAGCACCATCCTCTTGTCCAGCACAGTCGAAGATTTCTGCTCAGACAACTGCTGGCTGAGCTGATCGAGGTCAGGGTGAGTCAGCAGAAGAGAAGGGTTTGCACCTCTGTGCAGGGTGTTAGCACCCAGCTGAGGTCAGGGAGTGGGAGGACTCTTACAGTGCTCTGGAGAGTGCTGCCCTGCTGCAGGGTATCTTTTCCCTCGATGGGTTGCCTGACCTCCCCTCCTTTCCTCCGGTTTTCTCCCAGCCACAGCTCTCCATTCTGTGCTAACTCCCCACTCCCGGCTGCATGCAGACCTTTTAAACACTTGTAATAGGCTGCAATGACGTCTGCTCTTAGTCATTGTGCAGCCAGGCGTCACTTAGTTCCTCCCTATTCCCTGAGCCCTTCTGATAATGTCTCCAAGCCCTTGGCACCACTTCCCCCTCCGTCTTTGCTTCTGACTCATTGCCCATGACATCAAGTGCTGCAGTTAATAGGATGAAAAAACAGAAGAGCCGGCATCTGTTGTATACCGAGATTCAGCTGATGTTGGGCTAGTTGCACGCAGCTCGCCTCACTGGAAAGTCTGTTGAGGAGCACAGAGGCTGTGTCTATGTTGGAGTATTGGACTGCCCCGGGGCAGGGCGGGAGTGTGAGTACCAGTGTTGGGGGGTGTCCGAGCTCTCCCGGTTGCTTTTGCAGCTGAGCTCCTTGTTCACCCTGGGACTGTGCAGGCCCAGAAAACCCCACATTGACTTCTGCAGGCTTTGGTTCAAACCGTCTTACACCTCTAGTTGCAGTGGCCACTGGGCACGGTGCCTCACTCCTCCCTTAAGCAGAAGCATAGGGTGAGGGTTTGGAGGGCCTTTGGGAAGCCTTCCCTTTCCCTGTAGTGCTGGAAACCAGCACGAGTCGCACAGGGGAGAAGCAGAGAAGAAACAGCCGCAGGCTGCCCTCCCTCATCCAACACAGAAGCAACTGGAGGGTAGACCTCCCAGGTTTCAAATCCTTTCCCAGCCCTAGATATTAGTTGACCAAGAGAAAAGAGCAACAGGCTAAGTGTAGTCTGATTTCTAACTTAGCCTGTGTGATTCCAGGCTGTGGAAGTATGTGCCTTTAAGTAGTGGCATTAATGAGCTTAACTATCCCCAGTTGCCTAATAGATTGGATAATGAGCAACATTCCTAATACACCATTCAATGGGGTTAGATAATTGCTGTTTAAAATGAAGCAACTTTTTATGGCTTTTAAATCAAGCTTTTGCCTTGTTTTACTTACAGGGGGCCAGAGACTCCATTAGCATGAATTGGTGTGAGTGAGCCTGGGCTAGGCTGGTTTGCTCCAGCCAAGGAACTGTCCCACTGGGCCAAATTCATCCTGGGGGGCAGCCTAATGGGATAATCCAGTGGTTCTCAGCCTTTTTAGGCTTAAGGGCTCCCTCGTTAAACTCGAGGCCCTCACGGAGAATCTCAGCACTTCGTCTTCACTCATTTTTTTTTTACTACAAAAAATAATCGAGCAATTCTGTTGCAAAGAACTCCAGCCACAGCAGGGCAGGATGCTTTGGACACCTATTTGAAGTCTCTTGTGAATCATATTTGCACACCTCACAGTGCTAACATTGCATGGCACCCTGTAGCACCCTTGACAGGATCCCAAGGCACCCCGGAGTGCCTGGTTGAGAATCACCGGGATACGCTCTACCTTACGAGAAGGGTGGGACTCTGAAATTGTTTCATAACTTCAGTGGAGCTACCACGCTGGTTTTAATTGAGGACGGGATTTGGTTTTGTGCCTGTAAGGATCTTCTCTTCCCTTGTGCCTTTGTTTTACTTGGCTCCGTCTCTTGCAGACGAGGGATCACGTTTGGATCCGTGGCACAGAGAGTTGTTTGCGTCACCGACTCAGAGCTCCCCCATTCTGGCGCATCTCTCCCAACACAGGCCTGCGCCTGAGAGGCGCAAGCAAGCTTTATCACCTACCTGTGCCCACCCACGCACGCACACAGCATTTCATTTCCTTCCTCCCAGCCCCATTCAGCCTGCTGGCTGAGCCTCTGCGTGTTTGCACCTGGAGGCATGCAGCCTGGCTTAGCTTCATGCAGAGGCTGCTCTTACCCATTCCCTTATCACATCTCTTTTTTTTTCTTCTCCACCGCATCCTTGCTTCCTCTTTTTGCAGGCCCTCTCCACCCCCCATGCTGCTAGCAGTCGCCTGCTGCTGCTTTCTGGTTTTTGCAGCTTTCCCGAGCCAGAGTTTTTCTTCCGTCGTTATTTTTTTGCCTCCTCTCTCAAGCAGAAGGGGAGTTTGTGTGTGCAGGAAATTTCCTCTAATTGACTTGAGGGTGTGTTGCTGCCAGAGTTGGGCTGAGGATAAGCCCGTATGCAGGGGGCTAGCAAGGCCCCTTGCTTCGGGAAGGAGGTGCTGCGTGGACGCAGTTGGCGTGAAGGGAGACAAGGAGGACTCGGTGTCTTTCCTGAGGAGTCCCAGCTGCATTTTAATGTGTTAGAGAAACTCTACTCCCCTCCCTGCCTATGAATTTATCTCGCTGCTTTGTACAGCATCCAGATGGCACCGAGCGCTATGTCATGAGATAGTAAACAAAGCAGGCTGCCCCGCTGCTACGAGGAAACGCTGCGATTAGGCACTAAGTGCTTCTCAGCCCAAACGGCTGGTGTCAGTTCCTGGCTGCTTTACCTCCTGTTGACAGGAGCGAGGGCGGCGGGGGAACGGTGCCGGGGGGCGGCAGGGCCTCGCTGTTCTGCACGGGGTGGGAGATGTGCCAGGGCTATCCTGTTCCAGCAGTGCTGCTCCGTGCTCGCAAGGCAGGACCCTCCTTCCCTCCAGGCGGGCGCGAGAGGGTCGTGTTTCCACTCCTGGGTGCCGAGTGCCACGTGCAGTCAGAGTCGGAGGGTGCTGGGCCTCGGAGCGTGGTGGGTATCTTCCGCTGGGCATCCCAAATGGAGCCAGTTTGGAAAGGACAAGTCCAGGGTGGAGGCAAGGTTAGAACTCAGGGCCCTGGAGCTCCCGCTGGGACTCGCCCACGGCCCCGTCTTCCTTCTTTGCCCTTGGGCCTCTTCTGGCAGCAAGGAGGGCTGGGCGTGGGAACCCACCAAGGATCCTTGCTTGGCAGCATCTGGGTTTACCTCCCCCTTCGACCCTTTGGATCCACATAGGCTGGCAGCTGCCCCATTTTTAACCCTGAAGGTGCCATCACCCTTGAGGCACCACACTCCCAATTTGCAAGCGGCCGCCTGACCCAGTTGGGCAGCTCAGCTCATAAAGGGCCAGCCAAAGGCGTTGGACTTGGTGTTGGCCACAGGCGACGACCTGGTGAGGGGGCTGCGGGTGCTTGACCCCCTGGGCGACAGTGACCACTGCCTGCTAGAATTCACCATTCAGCGCAAGGTGGCAAAGGCAAGCAGTCAGGTGGTGGCCCTAGATTTTAGGAGGGCGAACTTCAACAAGCTAAGGAGGATAGTTGGAGAAGCGCTGAAG